CATGTTGTGCTTGCAGCACTGCCTCTGAACACTTCACAGTTTCAAATGAGACGGATGGTAAGGTTGATAATGCAGTCTTCATACATCGCTATAATGTCAATGTCTTTCATTTGCATAATTGGTAAGAATTTAGATTTGCAGTGCATCGTATTTCTAAAACTAAGTCAACTGCCCATCAATGTCAGTTTTATGAGATAATTCTTATTGCACACAGAAATTTGTTGTTAACAGCATGAGCATCAAAACAAAACTCAATGCATTAAAGACATTTTTACAGAAATTTTCTGCAACATCTTTAACACTAAGTCTCACCAACAGGTCTTATTATTCTTGATGGCAATACATAAGGTTCTCTATGAAAAAGGCCCACAGCAAATGTGATGCTGACCTCATTAGCTCCGATAATTCTTTGAAAATATAACAGATAGTATACTTCTGCTAATGGTTCCGAGCCCCCTATTAATGCTAACATAAGTCATCTATACATATCACAAGAATACTATGGGCCTGATCATCTCTTATACTAATATTAGTCTGGGGTTATTGCCACTGAATCAGGAATAACTCCTCTGAAGTCAGTGAAGTTACACTGGGGTAGTAGTTAATGTATATTGAAAGAAGATAGGGAACTATGTACGGGTATGTCTACACTACAGAGTTTTGTCAGAAAAACAACTGTTTTTCCGACAAAACCTGAGTTATGTCCATACTGCAATTGCATTCAAAATCAAAAGAATAGAGGGTTTTTTTTTTCCAGCATTTGTAATCCTCTTTTTACGAGGAAGAAGCCTTTTTCAGAAAGAGCTCTCTCGGAAAAAGGCGTATGTGGACGGGGAAGAGGAAGTTATTTCAAAAGAAGAGGAAAGAGGAAAAAGCACAGGTGCCCTGGTGGCCACGCCGTCCATAGTAATCACAGCTTAAATGCGAGATAGAGTTTCATAGGCTCTTCTGAAAAAAGGTTCTTCCAAAAGAAGCCTGCAGTCTAGACATAGCCTACCACCTGATCCAGCCTCTTTCCTTATGTAAACCTAGACACTGCTAAGTAGAAATTCAAACTATGGCACTGCTGTTGGGAGATGAACCAGCAAACCAATGGAAAGGCAAGAAAAATTTCCTATTGAACAATGTGGGAGACCCAATATAAATTTCTTTTTGCTTCTGTGTCCATCTCTGATCTATGCTTTACTACAGAACAGAGAACAGAGCCAGTAATGATCTCACTCAAATTTCCCTCACTTTCACTTGCCCATATTATACAGCCATTAAGTAGGGGAAAAAAGTAGTTCATTGAAGGGTGGGATGTTTGTCTACAAGCATTGATACAATGACTTTATGGGTTACTTTGGTTTAATTCAAAGAAAGGAAGGAAGGGAGATAATCACTTAATCATGGGTTTTTGAACCATTATAAAGAATTCCATAGCAAGGTTATAAATCTATATTACATGTAATGAGATAGTTCAAAAAACTTTATAAAAAGGACATTTCCTGAAGTACTATGGAAGGATATATGTATGTGAAAGATTATGACACAGAAATATTTGCAAAGGATCCTCTTTTCAACTTCACGATATGGAGAACTTTCATAATCCCTTCATTCAGTTAAAAAATTCCCTAGCTAGGGTACGTCTCCACTAGCCCCCTAGTTCAAACTAGAGAGGCTAACGAGGGACCAAAATTGCAAATGAAGCGTAGGATATTTAAATATCCCACGCTTCATTATCATGTTCCCGGACGGCTGCCATTTTGGAAACTGACTAGCCCGGATTAACTGCCCACATCTTCACACGGCAGAGAAGCGCGATTCCGAGATAAACCCCTTAGTTCGAATTGACAGTTAAACCTTATTCCATTCCATTTTGGAAACTGACTAGCCCGGATTAACTGCCCACATCTTCACACGGCAGAGAAGCGCGATTCCGAGATAAACCCCTTAGTTCACATTAACAGTTAAACCCCATTCCATGAGGTTTAACTGTTAATTCGAACTAAGGGGTTTATCTCGTAATCTCACTTCTCTGCCATGTGTAGACATGGGCAGTTATTCCGAGCTAGTCAGTTTCCAAAATGGCGACTGCCCGGGAACATGCTAATGAAGCGAAGGATATTTAAATCCCATGCTTCATTTGCAATTTCAGTTGCCCTCGTTAGCCTCCCTAGTTCTAAATAGGGGGCTAGTGGAAACGTACCCTTAGGCTAGGTTCTGGACCTTGGACAGAAGGGGCAGGGCTAGAGGCAGCTAGCCCTATGAATTGCCTGGACCACACCATGCCTCCCCCAGTCAGACCTCAGAACCATGAAGACCATGATGCATGGGGCTCCCATGGTGATTTCAAGGGCCTGAGGCTTCAGTTGTTGCTGTTGCAATGGTAGCAGCGGCCTGGAGCCCTGAGCCCTTTTAAATCACTGGGCCATGTGGCAACTGTTCCCTTTTCCCCCATTTCATCCCCCCTATCCTGACAGGTGATCCTTCATGGATCCCTAAACTCACATGAAAGCCAAGCATCTTCTATTGTTACACGGTTTTGTATTGTTTTATTTCTTTTTAGTTTTGTTGCCTATTTTTGCATTTTCACTAGTACTTGGATGGTTTCAAAAGCAATTGTGCGATGAAATCTCATCAGCCATTTTATGCTAGTCAGCTAGTATATGGCTTAAGGTAACAGTGATAGTAAAAAATACCTCAAAGGAAGATAGCATGCTCCAAACAGAAGTAGAACACTTCATGTAAAGAGCATTTAAGAACTCCCCGAAGGTACTGTTTCTTTCATGTGGATAAGACTGACCTTCCTTCTGTTTCTAGGCTCAAATGCAAAATAAGTGCATTTCAAACTCTAAAAACAATTAATACACCACTTACCAACTCTCTCCACCTTCTGTTATAGATAGTTCTTATATTTGTATATATTACATCTCCTTAATAAGCACCAGTTGCTCAATCACAAGCAAAGAGGTGGAACAAAAATCAATTTTTCAGTATTTAAAAGACAGAATTGAAGAATATTGTGCTATTTCAAAAGGAAAACCTCTTTGGCTCCAATCTTGCAGAGTCCACCTGCATAGGTCACTTAGCGGGACAGGGGCTATTGGAAGATCAGTAGGAGAATTTGTTTTTGTTTTTCCTCTTGAATACATTCTATAGAATCAAAGTAGGATATGCGTGCAATAAATAGCCATCTGTCATCTGAAGAAGTGGGTTGCGCCCATGGAAGCTCATGATACCATCGACATGTTTTGTTAGTCTTTAAGGTGCTGCTAGTCTATTTGTTGTTTTTTTATGTTTTTTTATAGTTATAGTTACTTTTAAGTAAAGAAAGTCATTATCACAGTGTGTATATACATAATATAATTCCTTATTTATTTCCCACCCAGGTTAGTCATTTGTACATAAGAATATTATGCATTAAGATTGCTAACCTGATAATCATTATAGTATTTAGGTATCACGGACTATATCTTTGAATCGCTTACAAAAATTAGACTATAAAGCAAACAGACTTGAAATTAATGTTTCCCATTGCACTTCATTCATTCTAAGTATCAGGAGCTTTCTGCTTCTACCTATGACTGGATTACCACTGAAGAGTAAATTTAGAAACATATCGATAATCAGAATTACCAGTCTTTACCAAGCTGTTTGCTTTATGGATTCAAGCTCTTCAGAAAGCTAGCTGTACTAATTTACTAAACAGCAAGTTGAAGATTAGTTGCCTCTTCTGGGTATATGTTTAGACAAATCCAAGAAAACAAAATCTGCTAATGATTTCCAAAGGGGCCCATTGTTCTGTTTAGATTGCATAGACTTACTTTGGGTCATCTCTGCAGATGAAGACTACTGAAGTGTTTTAATTTTTATGGATTTGACTCATTCATGTAATACATAGGTTATCTGAGAGAATTTGCTATAGATTATTTTCAAGCGCAGGATGTAATTTAAAATAAAGAGTTAATACAATGATGGCACAACTGATTTATATTTGTATTTTTATAACTGATATACTGTGCTTTCATTCTCAGGATGATTTGTGCCTGCACTTATGGGAAGAACTACATAGATTCACGGTAATACTTTTCATGGCTTATAATGTACAAAGAGTTGAAATATGTATTTATGCAGCATAATTTTTTCTATATGTTGCATATAATAAACATTTTGACAACTTGCTTTTTTAACTTAATACATCTTTTCCATAGCAATACATGTATCAGCAAGCTGCAGGAAGGGTATCAGTCTTCACTTGTTATTGGATTACTTTTATTCAATAGACTAAAGTATTAGTTGTACCACTTATGTGTTGTGGCATCAACCCCTAACTTGGGAAAATAAATGCCATTTCTAAAACTAAAGTTATTGTATATTTTGTGTGTATGATTGTATGCATGCATGACAACTCAGACATGCTTTTTACATTTTTTTTCTTCCTTTGCACTGGCTGCTAAATGCTTTCTATTCACGGATGTCAGCACATCAGATCCACAAGGCTACACATGGCTATCAACTAAAAGGGAATAAAAGAAAAAGTTAAAATTGCTCTGACATGGAAAGTATCAAAGTCAACAGAGTTTTAATATATCAAAAGAAAAAGGTAGCATTAGGATCACTGAACTCAGAGGCAAAATGAAAGAAAGAGAGATCTGTTTAATGAATTATTTAGGCCTTTTGGTGTAAGAGATACATTCTATTTATGTGGCTTTTATGGTCATGGGGAGAGGGTTTCTAAAGATTCTCTGTGAGGTTCTAGGGGAAACATTTTGGGTTAGAGAAGAGTGGTTTAGTGATGCACATTAAAGAAATTAGCATACATTGTGGGGTACTGTATGAAAGGCACAATGCTGGGCTAACCTGGGTCTGGGAGCCATGAACAGCTGAGTCCCCATTGAAGCCTCTCTCCAGCCAAGACAGTAGGAGCTGTGCAGAGTCATTCTCAGCTAGAACCACACATTCTGATAGATAGTATAAGTATCAGCATATTCAAATAGAAGGGATTATTAGATCATTACCTTAATGAGAACCTGAATGTGTCCTGTAGCTTTTGAGGACTTGTAGTAAAAAAAGCTCAGCGTGCAAGCTGTGCTTGACTCTTTCCACACGGAGCTCCGCAGGTGGGCTTTTTCACCTCTTAGGCCTACTGGAGTAGCTTCAAGATATAGGAATGCTCCTAGAATCAATGGCTATATGTTACAGAGATCTACTTTAGACTTTTAAAACTCAGCAGAACTAATGCAGAGAAGTGTAAAGCATACTCCTAATGCATTCCCAGTACCAACCAAACCCATCGCAGCCAAATAACAGTGGGAGATGGGCTATGCTTCTTTCTCTGTTCATGTTACACTAGGAAGTTGGTGAGAACAGCTTAACTTTTCACTGGAACTACACAGGAGTTCTGCTGGGAGCAGCCACTAAAGAGTGATACTGAACTGCTATGTTTTTCAGCCATCTTGGCTACATCCTCTTTTCCAAGAACACTATGTGCTTTGCAGGCTTAAAGAGAGACTTTTCTAAGGCACAAGAGCATATAGGCAAACTGCTCCAATTGGTTTTCAATGAGAGCCTAACTGCAAAATCTCCTTAATATATTAAATAATTCTACCCCTTCTCAACAGGATGTTGTAATAATCCCAAGAGACCACTGTCAATATAGATTGAAAAGCTTACAACGAAGTTCTGAATGTTCCAGCATTATGTGCCAGACATGAAGGCTCTCTGGACAGGAGATCTGACTGTGGTAGAGTGGATCCTAGTGGATGTCTGATCCTACTTAACTCATCTTTTAAATCTGTCACCAGATCAAATGTATCTCTTTTGCCAAGTGAAAAACAATGATTTGCCCATCATATGCAATATTGTTTAGAGAAAGAGCAACTAAGAATGAAAGTTTTCTGACCTATAGGCATTATGGAACAGTAATTAATATTATGTTTTGATAACCAATTTCATGTTTCATTTATTAATAATGACACCCTAATTAGATATTTAGAACCTCCTGTTGTCTCATGGGGAAGACAGGAAGAGCTTAATGAATAGGATTATACCCTCATTTGTGAATGGACAACATACCAATTCCATTTCCAAGTGTGTGGTCCTCGGGAGGTCTGAGACTTTGAGGTGAGCCGATTCCCAGAACCCAGTCAAAGTTGTCAGCTAGGGAATTTTGCCAGCCACATTGGCCTCTCTCAAATGTGCAGGAAGTACCACAATCATTCTCATCAGTATTGTCCCCGCAGTCATCTACAAAATTGCAGCTTTGTTCTGGTCTGTAACACTTGCCGTTCTGACATTCCCGATAGCCATCTGAGCAGGAGCCTGAAAAGAAAAGAATACGGGTATCCTAGTGAATTATTCTGTAGTGCCTTCTAGCAAGGTTACTGGAAGGTTACTTCTGAGGCAGTTTGATATTTAGGAGGAGGAGGGTGGTCCACAACATTTTTCTTAAAAGTCTTTGGTCCCCCTCAAGTGCCAATCCATTATCAGTTTATTTCTTTTGTGTTTTGTGAAGAGATGGCCTAAGTAAATGGCTGTTTTCCTTGTAAAGACTTTTAAGGGCAAGTTCCAGCAATGCATTCCTTCACGAACAAAGCTTTCTAGCCTGACTTAATTGCTGACATTTTCCTTTCATGTGGTGTAGGATTAAGCCATTTCATTTTAACTGCAAAGTTGAGCTTAGTTTAGCAGTCTCAATTTAAAAAGAAAGAAAGAAAAAGCCTTTATAATCTATCTATGCAGGGTTGCCTTTTAGCGGACTATCTGCAAGCTAGTTCAATGAGGGTGGTGCTGTCCTTTTTGTGTATTATTCCTGGGTATTATTCCTGGCATAACTGAAAGATAACTCTGCTATTGCTAAGCCTGAGCATTATAGGACTCATTTCACAGAATCCATTTCCAAGCTTCATGTTTTCATTTCAGATCAGTTCCTGAAATACTTTGGCTAGAAGATGGTCCCTTTGGCACATCCCTAGTCCAGAAACAGACTGACATGAAACTAAAAAAACATACAAACCAACAAATGCTCATTGTTCTCCCAAATGAAAGACCTTGGACCTGCCAAAAATGTATGCATGTGAATAAAATCACACACAGAGTTAAATGATAATGCATATGTATGTAAATGTTACTCTCATAACTTTTGGCAGGATTAGGGCCAATTGTTGGTAAAAAACAAATAAAAACAAAACCAAAATATTGGTTTTGCAGTATCACTATTCAAATTACCCGGAGAAATTTGTGAGAAGCCCAGACTGTTCTAAGAAGCACAAAACAGATGGTTTATTAAGAAAAGAATAAAATTAAAGGGGAGGGATACTGACTAGCACCAAAATTCAGAAGTTTCATCCTCAGGTTATACTAAAGTTGGCTCTCAGAGAGTCCTCGCTCGACAAAGCTCTTAGAAGAAATAGAGCTCAGCAGAATATTTTTAACGGAGAGTAAAATGATTTTCATTTCTTCAGTCTTTGATGAACACTTAAACAGCTGCATCTGTGACTCTTATACCTGGAGTAGATAGTGCCTAATGGTAACTATTAACCAGGGTCTGGTTGATTGCCCCATAGCCATTGCTGTTTCTTAATGATGTAAGATAAGATCTTTGGATGGGCAATGAAGATGGGTGTAAAACAAACAACAAGGTGTTGAACACCTGTAGCTTACATGGACTTCAATGAACATTTTCCTTTACCATAGGAGATACTGATTTTCCATCCCTAATTTAACTGCATTTCAAACACACTAAAGCTCCTCTGCTTTATGGAAGTACTGAAAAGACTGAAACCTGCAGTAATTTAAAGAAAAGGGAAGACAGAAGATAACTGTCACTCAAAGTCCATTTGTATTGTGTCCTTGTATCCAGGTTCACTTAGAAAGAGTTCTCCAAGCAGGACTGACTATAAAACGAAACGAGCATATTTCCATTGCATCCTTTCAAGGTTCTCTGCAATCAGGGATACAACTTTAAATAACAGAACAGGAGACCATGCAAGCTCATTAAGAGCCCTGATTCCTATATGACCCAAGAGGTAATAAAGGGAGAGGACCCACCAGAACTGCCTTTTAAAAGAACTGCCAAATGCCACATCCCCAGCAGCAAATCATGTGGTATATACTGGAGGACATACAATGTGGTCCTGGAAGTCTGCAGGGAGTGGTACCAATATCATAGCAGTCTTCCCCAAAATTGGTGGAATTTCCTCAGAGATTTTAGCCAGAATGAGAGAGAGCTTGGTTTAATTTGTGTTACCCACTTAGCTTTATTCATATACCATCTATAGCAATGCTTATAGTTTCCAAAAAGAAAGTCCTATCCAGCCCAGATAAATAAAGATTTTCTTTATGGGGAAGAGCAGGGGCTTTGCAAGGGGCACTGTAGAGTTTAAGAAGCAGGGAGGCAAACCAGGGAAACAAAAGGCTTATGTGGTCAAGTTTGCCAGCTAAGTGGGGTATTAGATTAGGGGCATGCATCACTATAGGGGTAATGTTCCCATTCACCACACGGGCCTCTCTAATTCCCACCTCCTCCAGCTGGATCATGCAAGGTGCTGAGCATCCTAGTCACATCTGGCAAGACCTGTGTAACTGATCTTCTCCACATTAGCGGAACTGCTGTGTATTACAAACCACTACCACTTTCCCAACGGAAGTCTGACAATTTTTTTTGCTGCTGTTCTGGATACAGTATTTATTAAACTTTGTGAATATAGGGTTTGGATAGGTTTAATAAAGACTGTGGCTTGCTTTGGTTGGTATCAAAATTAAGCTATTTATTATAAAGATTGTACATAATATAACAGGTGGATGCTTTTAAGAGCTAGTTATTGTAATCCTGATAATCCTGTTTAGTTAGTTGCTCTAAGAATTTAGGCATAAATTCAACGTTCCTAGCAAACTAAGACGTGAAAAGCATACAAAATGTTTGTGCCTGCTCCTCTCTGTGCTTTCCCATTCTGCCAACCAAATGCTTAACAAATACAAACATATCTCTATAGTATTTTGTTTCTTTGTACAAGTATAAATGCATCCAATTTGGGACTGAAAAACTTGAGAATTGAAATGTGTAACTAGTTGTCATCTGCAAAGAAACATTAACCTGGAATGTTGAATCCCGAGAATAATTAATTTTTTCCAAGCATGTGCAAAAAGTTGAAGGGAGAAATAAGTCAATTGAGATATATTTTTAAGTGCTAACCAAAACCCTACACTGCATGCTTCATTATTTGAGTCTATAATATAAACCAAAGCCTTCTGAGTATGACAGAGGAAAGTAATAAGGAAAGTAATAAGGGCCTTCTCTGTGAGACAAAGTAACTGTTTTCCCAGAGCCATCTTTAACAATCTGTAAAGATTGTTAGCAGGTGGGCTTCATGCCCTGGTGTGGCAGATACATCAACACACTAGACTATAATGGACTCAGAAGCAATGTGTAGTGTTCAGATCAATAATCTGTGAACTGAGAAGGATTTACACAATAGAGGATAGCAGCTGCACAAAAGCTACTAAAAATCTGTCAAAGCAATAATCACTGTTTTTATAAAGCTCTGAATAATCTTTGAGAGCTGGGAGGGATTACATTTTTAAATATGTATTTGGAACTTGGACAAATCACCTATTTTTAAAGTACCCTTAAACACTAAAACATATCCTTTAAAAATGCTCATAAAAATGTGTAAAAAACCCCAGACATCAACACCACAACCCATCATTAAAAAGCACAGAGGACTAATGGCACAAACACCACTGTGTTTACTTATAGACAAATAACAAGGTAAGTCAAAGCCTCGTTTTATCCTACTACCCCAATGCAATGGATTCTTGTCAGTGATAGAACAACAGATGGTTTATGAGCTGCAGAGTTGAGGCAAAGCAGCATATCTTACAAGAGGAATGCCTACATTATGGACTTGATCTTGTACTGTTACTTATGTAGGCTCCTTAACTTCAGAAGGAGTATTTACATATGTGGATAAAGGGGATCCAATGGATACAGTGTTCTTAGATTTTCAGAAAGTCTTTGACAAGGTACCTCACCAAACGCTCTTAAGGCAAGTAAGTTGTCCTAAGAGGAAAGGTCCTCTCATGGACTGATTACTGGTTAAAAGACAGGAAACAAAGGGAAGGAATAAATGGCCGTTTTCTGAATGGAGAAAGGTAACTAGTGGTGTCCCCAAGGGTCCATCCCAGCAGGGCCGTTCTTATGTTCTTATGTAAAGAAGCACTCCCATGAGTAATGATTAGAGGGATCTATATTTATGTGCTCTCTTTACTAATCCCCAAAGCACAAAGATACATCTCATGCAGGGACTACTGGAGCGAGTGAATCCCATGCTTTCATACTTTGTAATACCATAGTGCTAGCCTTGTTCCCTTTTTATTGACTCCTCTAACAAGCATCTCTATTCTGTTTTCTGTCCTGCCCTCCTGCATATGAAACACACTTTTTGGCCTCTACCTTCACTGCATCCCTCCTACAGCTCCATGATAACTATAAGGAACTAATTTGGCCACTAATGGGCAGACAGAGTTCTTGGAAATAAACTGAGTAACTCACAAAGACATCTTTGCACTCCCCTGATCCCTGCTGCTGCTCTGTGAATTAGCAATTTGCCTGTGCCAAATTAGAGCAATTGGGAAGCCAAAACCACAGTCAGGGATGTGTCATGGGTTTTTTTGTCTGCTACCCTGGCAGTAGACAGAATAAGTGGCATAAGAACTCTTATTTTGGGGTGAGTTCCCCTCTCCTCACCCAGTTGCTATTAAGTTAGATTCCACCAGTGCTGCTGTGCAATGAGACTGTGCTGCACCGGAGAATCTAGCTCTGCGGGTTTTGACATGACCAACCCCCATATTGACCACTTTAGTTACATTATATTATTACTCAAATGTTGTCTGCTTGCTTCTCTTTTAGATTATAAGCTCTTCCAGGCAAGGGCTATGCTTTCTTTCCTGTGTAAAAAGCACAGGGCCGGATTAAGACCTTTAGAGACCCTAAGCACTGAAAGGATTATGGTGCCCCCCATATGTAATCATATATATAGTAGCCCACTGTCCGTGACTCTGTAACGTTGTAGCATTACGTATTGCCTCTGGAGAGCACTGTTGCCTCCCACCACGGTGCTTGGCTTACTTCTGCGCCGCTCAGCCGGGCCGTTGTGGGGGAACAAGTGGCGCAAATGGCCGTTTGGGGTCCACGCTCCCCATGCAGGAGCAGGAGGAGAAGAGAAAGAGAGTGAGAGTCAGGAGGAGGAGGAGAAGAGAGAATGAGAAGCAGGAGGGGGAGAAAAGAAAGAGAGATGGAGAGAGAGGCAGGAGATGGAGGA